CTGCACTTGCGGCACTCGTCGTTGGCGTAGACCTTGCCGTCCACGCCGCACACCTTCTTGCCGCCCGCCTTGCACTTTTTGGCGCACGCCGCCTTGTCTGCCGCCGCCCTGCAGTCGTCCTTGCAGTTCTTCTTGGTGCCGCAGGCCCACAGAAGCTTGGCAGCAGGCTTGGTGCACTGCGGCAGGAAGGAAGCAAGCGTGCAGCAGGAGATGCATGTGGCCAGCTCAGGCGCAAGGGCATGAGAGCCAGCAAGCACAGCGCGGGTGCCTCCGCTGCGGATACCGCAACCAGGCACTGTGCCGAGGCCGGCAGCTGGCGAGGCTGCTCGGCAGGGCCGGGTTCCTCCCCTCTGCTGCCTCACAAGGGGGAGCAGCGGCCACAGAGGCGTCAGCAGTGGAGCGAGGCGCCGCCCCTCACCTTCAGATCGCAGGCGGAGTTCAGGATGCGGCCGTCCGCGGCGCAAAGCGGCGCCTTCTTCTTCTCCGCGGCGCTGCACTTGGCCGCGCAGGCCACCGCCGTGCCTCGCTTGATGGTACCGCCGGGGCTGTTGGATGGCGTGACCACTGGCCTCACCACAGGCCGCACGGTGGGGGTCGGGCCGCCGTCGACTGTGCCGCCACCGCTGCCGCCCTCGCCGGCGCTGTCGTCGGTAGGGACATCTGTGTCGTCCTCGGCGGCCGCCTGCTGGCAGTCAGCTGCGCAGTCTGCGCCGGCAGCGCACTTGAGCCTGCGGGTGGGGACCGGTTCCGCAGAGGGTATGAGCTGGGCAGGGCAGCGGGGCCAGCATCGCGTGCCAACGGGCGGCGCGCCTTAGCAGCGGCAGGGCGGCCCCAGGCGTCGCTCCCCAGCCTCCCCTCCCCCAGGCCCCTTCTCCCTGTGCCGCGAGTGTTGCCTTGCCCACACCTGATCCTGTCTCCAGCGCATCTGGCGAAGCAGGGGTGCTGGTACACGGCGCCGCTGTAGCCGCAGACCTCGGCGACAGCAGACAGCAGGTCGCAGCCGCACACGGCGGCAGACTGCTGGCACGCGTCCGCGCAGTCCTCGCCGTCGGCGCAGGGGAACAGCAGCTCCACACGCGCGCACTGCAGCAGGCAGGCGGCGGGGCGGGGAAGCGGGGAGCCGGCAGGTGTCATCAGGCGCAGAGCATGCATGCATTTTGTGCGGTGGCAGTGGTGGTGGTGGTGGTAGCGGTCGGCGAGGCAGGTCTCCCCGCAGTCGGTCTGCGCCGTGCTCCGCGGCGCCGGGGGCAGGCAGGGTGTGCCTGGGGCGCGCCAGCTGGCCGCCTGGACCGCAACCTCCAACCTCTGCGGGCGCACCTTGAGGAGGCAGAGGTTGGGGTACACGGCGCCGTCCTTGCCGCAGTGCGGCAGGTAGCTCCTGGGGCAGGCATCGCAGCTGTCCTCCTCCTCCTCCGGAGGCTCCTTGGGGGCGCACTCGACGGCGCACTGCGCCTCACTTAGCTCGTCGCACTTCCACAGGGGCTTGACGCGGGCGCACTGCGCAGCGCGGCGTTGGGGCGGCAGCGGAGCGGGCATGAGGCCAGAGTGGCAGCAGCGCGCCTGGCTGTCCCGCGCCAGGGAAGGAGCCGCCAGGTAGCTACCGGTGTCGTGTGGCGACGCAGCATGGCAGCAGGCATGTCGGCAGATGGAAGGTGCCAAGCGGCAGCAGGCGTAGCTCAGCCGTGCCACCGGGAGGTGCATGGGCCATCATGGGCCGGCTGGCTGACTGTTGGCACCCCCTGTGCTGTTTTGAATCACAGGGGC